GCTCAGTCAAATTGCTCAAAGGCCTGAAAATTGACTATGCTAGGGCAAAAGTCAACTGTGGCCCATATACAGTAAAACTTCAAGAGTTTTGGTCAACATACTAATTTTGAAGTATTATTTATCATTTGATAAAGGTTTGATCATTATTCTTCAAGGATTGCTCACAATTCATCAAAACCCATAAGTTGCTAAATTAGGGTTTTGCAAGAAAAGTCAACTCAACTTTGACCAAGCATAACTTTCTCATACTTTATCAAAAATGATCCATATAAAGCTCATTTTGAAGAGGATGCAATTCCCTACAATTCATCTTCAGCTCCAAAGTTCAAAATATGCACTCACAAGAAGATATAAATTTGGACATTATAGGTCATTTTGAAAAGTCAACAAAAACACCTTTTTTGTCAAAGCTTCATACATGAACATGGAAGACTCAATTGAGATGATACCAAAAGGGTTGCTTATGGGACAAATCAAGATTTATAAAAAGTCTAAGAACACATCTCTAGGGTCAAAATTGAAGGATTTATGCATTGGCAAAGTTGACCTTTTTTGTAAAATTGTCAAAAGTCAAATGTGGCCAAAATTGCAATTTTTGCTAAATGGGCCCAACTTTTTATGCTTGCATTGAGTTTGTAACATGACCCACGACCCATGATCCTTTCCATTTGTAATTATTATATTTTTGTCATTATTTTGATTTTATTTCAATTAAATCAAATAAAATCAAAATAAAATCATGAAAATATCAAAACAAATCAAAGCTTGAGATTTTGTGCATGTTTAGGCCTCTTATACAGCTGGAAAGAGAATCAAATCGTGCAAGCTCCATTTGGACACAAAAAGATTGTATTTGGCTTGATTTGAAAATATTTGCATAAGGACCAAATCTTGAATCAATGATCTTAATTGAGGAAGATTTGAAACAAGTTTGTAACCCTAATTCGTTCTAGGGTACATAAGTAACATGTGCAGACCAAAAGCAAAGAAATTAGAGGCGTGCAAAGGTGAAAGCAACTTTCAAAAAAATCAAGAAAAGTTGTAAACTGATTTCCTAGTTCCAGGCTTCCTCAAGCCATTCCAGTCACACAAATCGTTTGCTGGGCGTTCTAGGATCCTATTCCAGTCATTAGCAAGCTTCTTAACCCCCAGAAACGCGCTGTAAGTGCCCCACGACTTCCATGTTTTTTTGAAATCGTATATCATAATTATGGAATTGTTAGCATGTTTTATGGACATATTCTTAATCCTTATGGTGTTTGCAAGCTAATGGTAATATCCAATTTCATTTTTATTGGCTATACAGCAAGTTGCCATGGCTAGGGTTTTAGTTTCGTTTTTAGGGATTTTGTGTACAGGTACAATTGGCCATGGGTAAGGGTACCAAGATGCTCATGAGGTTTCCACGAGTTGATTGGTACCATTGTTGTGCATTTATCATGCTTGCATAAGATTTTGGAGAAACACAGGGTTGTACCTACGCCCCTTTGTCCATAGGTAAAAGTCATGGGTCTAAAAAGACGGAGATGATGAGGAAGAGGATAACGTGGCGCCCGATGGATGGTCCGTTCAAATCTGTGCGCGCTTTGATAAATATTGTTTTGTTTTTTCATATAATGATTGTTTGTTGTTCCATATACAAAAAGCCAAGCTAGCTCAGATGGTCAGCGTGCAGTGGAAAATGCCAAAGGGCCTGGGTTCGATCCCCAGGTCCCCAAACTTGCTTTCTATATTTTTTCCTTGTGTAATCAGGTACACGTGCATACAATGAGCCTGCCATGCATCATCAATGGCCAACCAATCAGATCATCCACATGCTAGATCCAAGGATTCCCAATGAAGGTCTACCATGGACATCAGTCAAACGTGTACATGGGATCTGGAAAAGTCAAATGGGCTACGCGCTATTGGGCTCAGAAATTGAAATTCATACCCCCCTTCTTACTACAAAACCAGGCTCATTTCTATTTCTTTTCTATTTTTCTTTTTATTTAATTTCTTTTATTTAATTATTTTCTAACACAAATTAATTTCTTTTTTACAAAGAAATCATAAAATCAATTTCATAAATTTAGAATTAGGTTTTTTTAATTTATTTTATCAAATTTAATTAAGCATTAGTTTTAATTTAATTTAAGATTAATTCTAACTATTTTCATATATTTAAAATAAATTAGATAATTAGGGTTACCATGTGACTTAAATTTTACTTCTTTTCTCAATAAAACAAAAAAAATACAAAATAGGTCAAATTAATTATTTTTTCTTAATTTAAATGAATTAGTAATTAGGTTTGTATTTATTCAATTAAAACCTTATTTTCTCAAAATAATCAAAACAACAAAAATATGATTTTTCTTTTAATTAGGTTTAGACGGGGTCAAAACCCTAATTTTTCTCGTTCTCGATTCATCGCGCGCATTTATTATTTTTGCAAATATTAATGTAACTGCTTACGGTATGTAATAATTTAATTAGGATTTTCCTTTTATTTTTTTACGGGTTTTTGGCTATGTAATTAATCCGCCTCCCCGAAGCCTTGTAATAGCATAGTTTTATTTCTCGCATTTTAATTTTCGCAAATATTAACTGTTAGATGTATGATAATAGGATTGCGTGACAAGACTGCATGTTAATTTAAAATGGCTAGCAAACCGTAATGTGCAAAGATAATAACTGAAATCAAATCACTCGCACACGCGCACTCTTAGGGTATACTCTCACTTCGGTTGCCTTCGGTAAATGATCATTAAGTATAGGGTGTCTTAGTGGTGGACCTCCTGTCTAACAAAGATCAAAAGTCCCATTCGGAAATGTTGCCTCAGAAACGTCACCTCGAAAATGTTGCCTCGAAAATGTTCTAACGTTGCTTTAGTGATCGTACGTCCCTTACGAATTGACCCTTACAACTCCAACGACAGTGCTTCCTATTTCTCAATAATAGGATAGCATTGTCTAAAGGAAACGAGAATAGAAACGATCTTTTTTCGAGTAGGTAGATGCTAGTAGGTACTTGCTCAAAACCAACTTTTTCACACTTACACTTTTTCAAACAAAGTTTTCAAAAACACTTCGTAACACTCTTGAGGATTGATACAAGGGTTAAAACAAAGTAAAACAAAAAACTTTTCTAAACACACAAACACGAAAGCAATTTTTAAAATGATGAACAAGTACCTAAGAGCCCGTAGAAAACTACGGATAGAAAGGGTGCTAATACCTTCCCTTTCTATAATCTACCCCATGTACTCAAAATCTAAAAAAAAGGAATTTTTCTGTGCATTTGTCCTTTCCTGTTGGATAAAATAAAAGTCGGTGGCGAGTCTTGCTTACCGCGACATTTTGCAAACACGAACGCAAAACACAAACCAGTATTAACAGTCGGTTCTACCACCGTATCACAGAACTGGTGACTCTGCTGGGGATTAAATAAGTGGGGTATACCTTAGGATATAGTTCATCATAATTTGCTTCTCTTGTTTGTTTTGGTTGTGTAGCGGTGAAAATCAGAGATCAAGTTATTAATTAACTTGACTCACAAAAGCAAGAGTCACCACCGCGCTTTATTATTTCCAAGGGAAAAGGGAAAAGAGCGAAATAAAACCCTAAAATATGCAATGTAAAATAATACTTAAAAGTAATAAAAATACAATGCGTTTTTTGAAAGAGATCGAGAGTTCGGGGGTTGGTTATACAATGGGAAGGTATTAGCACCCAATGCATCTGCGGTACTCCGCAGGAACCTTTTGAAATATCTGTTTTTTTGTTAAAATTGTTTGTTTAGTTAAATGGGTATGGATGAGATTTTCAAGATACGACGACCTAGTGTTGAAGTTTTGACTTAAAAGGTGTGAGTTTGAAAATGGAGTCTTTTGGGAAAATTATCTTAAGTTTGGAAAAATAGTAAATAAGCAAAAAAAATGAATGAGGGTATTCGCACGATTGTAGAAGATGTATTTGATGACATGAAGTCAGCTGAGTTGAAAATTTTCCCTTGGAATTAATCATAAGCAGGTAGATCTAATATTCGAGTAAGGAAGCATAAATAATTAAAATCCACGAGAAACGAACAAGGTAGATAACAAGACAAATTGTAAGAAACTAAATGAATGGATAAAGAAGAATCAAAAATAAAAGAAAAGTGTAATTAAAAAAATTATCTAGACTAATTTGAAATTCTAAGGTTACTAAGTAAACTAAACTTAAATTCTAAAGTGTCTAACTAAATTAAATAAAATTTTGAAGTTATTAACTAAAACTAAATTAAAATTCTAAAGTTACTAACTAAAATTCGAAAGTTATTAAATTAAATCTAAAATAAATTAACACTCTAATATTACTGAATTAGGTCTAAACTAAATTAATTCTAAAGTTGCTAAATTACATCTAAACTAGTTTAAGTATAAACTAAATTTATTATAAAATTACTAATTTAATCTAAACTATATTAGTAATAAAATTACTAACTTAAATCAAAACTAAATTAATTCGAAATTAAGGATTAAAATTCTAAGATTTAATTAAAATTCTAAAGTTATCAAAATATATCTAAACTAATTGGAAGTTCTAAAGTTATAAAATAGATCTAAACAAATTAAAATTTTTAAGTTATCAAAATATACCTAAACTAATCAAAGGTTCTAACATTACTAATTTATATCTAATTAAATTAAAATTCTAAAGTTATTAAATTAAGTCTAAAACTAATCTAAATAATTAAGATTATCTAATTAACTAAAACATAGTTGTTTAATTAAATCTACAAATAACTAGATTAACTAAACTAATTATTATTTAAAATAAACAAATTGAGAGGGTATAACTAATAATTATTGGAGGGGGAGTAGTAAAAGCGGTCGGGCTTAAAAAATGAAACGATAAGCCCAAATTGTAACACAAATAAAAATCAGAAGAGTATTTAAAAAAAAATGATGGGCCGGACCGGGTAAGGGTGGTCCGGACCCATCTTCCAAACTCACAAAATTGGGTTGAAGAAAACCCTAACGGCTTGTGAACTTGGTCACAGCTTTAGTACCCTCAGACACAGCATGCTTAGCCAACTCTCCAGGAAGAACAAGCCTCACCGCAGTCTGAATTTCCCTGGAAGTTATCGTCGGCTTCTTGTTGTACCTCGCAAGTCTGGAAGATTCAGCAGCAAGCTTCTCGAAGATGTCGTTGATGAAACTGTTCATGATTCCCATGGCCTTGCTTGAGATACCAATGTCTGGGGGAACCTGCTTCAGAACTTTGTAGATGTAGATCTTGTATGTCTCCACACTCTTCTTGTTTCTCTTCTTCTTCTTGTCCCCGGCCGCGGCACCACCGTCCTTGGAGAGCTTCTTACCGGCCTTTGGTTTCTTCTCTGTCGGAGATTTCTCGGCTACTGTGGACTTCTTCTCCTCTGCGGGTTTCTTCTCCGCGGGCTTCTTCTCTCCTTTTGGTGGCATTTCTCTGTTCTTGATGACACCAACTCGGCCTCTATTTCTTCCTCCGGTAACCATGACAACATTCCCCATATCAAACTTGATAAAATCAGTGATCTTATTGTTTTCAAGGTCAAGTTTGATGGTGTCATTGGCCTTAATTAGTGGATCCGGATAGCGGATGGTACGACCGTCATAGGTGTTAAGATAGGGAATACCCTTCTGTCCGAATTGAACAGATCGAACCTTGCAGAGCTTAAACTTTGCTTCATCGTCTCTCACAGAGTGGAGACGGAAACGGCCCTTGGTGTCATACAAAAGACGGAAATTTTCATTTGTTTTGGGAATAGAAACAACATCCATGAAACCAGCAGGATATGTCTTGTTTGTCCTAACCTTGCTATCAACAAGAACATGGCGCTGCATCAAAATGGCAATAACTTCTCTGTACGTTAGAGCATATTTTAGTCTGTTTCTCAGGATGAGAATCAAAGGCAAGCACTCCCTTGACTTGTGGGGTCCAGATGATGGCTTTGGTGCAAAAGCTCCACCAAGTTTGTCAAGCATCCAATGTTTTGGAGCATTCAGTCTCTTCAAGTGTTTCTTCAATCCTCTAGCCATGTTGGATGATTCTGTAGAATGGGGTCCTTAGAGATGACTCCTAGGGTTGAAGATGAAGAGTGAAAATTGCGAGAGGAATTGGTTTGGGTGATTGGTGGTGTTGGTTAACGGAATGGGAAAATTGAAGGGATGAATGAAAAAGGCGCTAGAGAGAGGAAGAGAATTTGAGATGCTGTTTTGGGAATGGAGAGAAAGATGAGTGGTTTATTGTGTTGTATTTTTTTGTTATGTGTGTCCCCTCTTACAAAGAGATAAAGAAGCTTAAAAATAGAAAAAATGAAAAGGAATATTATGATTTCAAAATAAATCCAAGCCGTTCAATATAAATTCAATCTCTATCAATCCGCAAATCATGCTATCAACCAATGAGAACTACGCAAAGCCTAATTAATATTTTTTTGTGACCAAAAAGTCCCTGAATGACCAAAAATAAAATAAAACCTGAAACTATAAAAAATAAATCAATTTAAAATAATTTTAAAAAATAAAGACCCAAAGTGATCGAAGACGATAAAAAGAACGGACGAAAATTTATCCGAAAAATAAAATGAACACGTTAAAATACTCTACGTGTCACAAAGATTAAAGAAAAAATATTCAAAAAGAGTAAAAATAGGAATAAAATGATAATGAAAATACCAGGCTAAACAGACGTTTTACAGTTAAAAACGAGACTTCAAACTGTATCAAAAAACTAAAGCGAGCATACCGTCATAATCTATGCGAGATGCAGATTCATAAAATGATCGGTAAAAGGTGAAAACTTGAAATATTTTTCTCGCTAATTTTTCCCACATTGTTGAATCGCTTTTAACAGTTTGTCTATAAAACCAAAATATTTTTATTATCGACATATAAACAACTTGGAGCAATGCGAGTAAAGAGATAAAAATGCATGAAGTGAAATGTCAGGTATTTTTAACTAAAAGACGATGCAAACTTTGATTTAAACTGACTTTTCTGGTCAACTTAAATACGACTAATGATGCAAAATATGATGAATGAAGATATTTACTAATGATTGTGACCAAATAACAAAATATGATATGAAAGTGCGACTAAAACATATTAGGGGCAAAATTCAGGGTGCAATAGTTGTGCCTTGATGAATCAGTCTTCGAGAATCTATAATCAAACGTACTTTTGGCTTGGGAGACTCAAAACCTTAATTGAGGCGCGACACCTGATGCTCTTGATTCAGACATGTCTCTGCACATGACACAAAAGAACATGAACATACACCTTTGTATGCGATTAGAAATTAGTGATACATATGCTAAAAATGTTCAAAACACTTGACAATCTTCGCATAGTCAAAACTCGAAGGTGAGACGTTAAAACCGACCATATTTCGTGACCTTGACTTATCTTTAAAAATGCAAAAATAAAAATGGGATCTTAGGTCAAAAATTGGGGTACAACAGCTGTCCCTATTTAAGTTTCTTCTATCTGGCGAGATTGAAGGGACTTAAATATAGAATACACAATTTTTGGCCTTAAGATATCGCAATTATGTTTATGATATGATATGAATGTGATGTTTTGAATTTTATGGGGAATGACGCCGTATGAGACAAACTATGCTGGAGAAACCAAGCACATTATACAATAATCCCACAGAGGAAGAGGTTGTAACTCCACTGGGGAAACAAAGTCATTGACTTCAAATGAGAGACTCTTGAATGATTTACATCAGTATTGAGACTGGAGAAGGGAAAGGATTGACATTAACATTGTGAATGGAAAAGGAAATGATTGACATCGGCAACTGTGGCTGGAAAACAAAATGATTGACATCAGCACTGTGGCTGGAGATAAACATCTCTGATTTCTGAATTTTACCAAGAATGGTAACACATTTCTTCTCTGACCAAGATATCGCTTGAAAAGGATAAAATAACAAACTTCCCCACGGGACTTTTCCGAAGGGATGCCATTTGCCTAGTAGACATTATTGTTGGGGATACACAAGCTGCTCAAATAAAGAGGCCGCCACTTGCTTCCTTTCAAAGGTGTCAATAACATATAAGCTGCTCATGAAGAGACCGCCGCTTGTTGTTTCTTTTCAAAATTACCAATAACACACAAGTTGCTCATGAAGAGACCGCCGCTTGTTGTTTTCTTTTCAAAATTACCAATAACACACAAGTTGCTCATGAAGAGACCGCCGCTTGTTGTTTTCAAAGGTGACAATAACAAACAAGTTGCTCATGAAGAGACTGTCGCTTGCTGTTTTTTCAAAGGTATCAATAACACACAAGTTGCTCATGAAGAGACCTCCGCTTGCTGTTTCTCAAAGATATTAATAACATACAAGTTGCTCAAATAAAGGGGCCGCCACTTGCTACTTATAACCCACAAGCTGCTCATGAAGAGCTGCCACTTGCTGTCTTCAAAGAATATCAAAGCACACAAGATACTCATGAAGAGTCCGCCACTTGTTGCCAATAACCCACAAGCTGCTCATGAAGAGCTGCCACTTGCTGTCTTCAAAGAATATTAAAACACACAAGCTACTCATGAAGAGTCCGCCACTTGTTGCCAATAACTCACAAGCTGCTCATAAAGAAGCTGCCACTTGTTGTCTTCAAAGAATATCAAAGCACACAAGCTGCTCATGAAGAGTCTGCCACTTTTTGCCAATAATCCACAAGCTGCTCATAAAGAAGCTGCCACTTGTTGTCTTCAAGGGAACAATAACACACAAGTTGCTCAAATAGATAAGCTGCCACTTGCTGTCTTCCAAAAATACTAACGTACAAGCTGCTCATGAAGAAGCTGCCACTTGCCGCTTTCTGTACAAGCTTCTCATGAAGAGACCGCCACTTGCCGTTTTCAAAAAGTGTTGATAACATACAAGTTGTCCATGAAGAGACTGCCGCTTGCTGTTTTCTCAAAGATACCCATAAAATATCATGAAGATATTGCTGGAGGTGAGAATCAATAATTTCATCGAGGATGGACAAACTGCTCATGAAGAGACCGCCATTTGTCGTAGAGAAATCAGAAATAATCAAACTGCTCAAATAAAGAGTCAGTCGCTTGTTGTCATGTTGATATTCCAGAAGAAGGTTGTGATAACACTGCTGGGGAATAAAGTTCATCTTCAATGGGGAACCATGAGTAAATCCTTCTTGAGGAGACCAAGTATTTACATTGCAAAATAAATGCACTTTCCATCTAGGTTTCACAGCCTAGAGATATTCACAGGGTATCGTTCACAAGAGACACAGCTCAATCCAGGAATAAACTGGAGAGAAAACAGTCAGACAAGACTCCACCCAATGAGGAAATAACTCAAATGGGGATTTATCCTATCCAGAGATGGAAAAGGAACGCTAAAGCAAGATTCTTCCACGAGAGCTAACTCAGTGGGGAATTAGAAAGAAGGCACACTTTATGCTTAAGTTGACACTCTATTTGGAAAGATCAAATACGCTATTTGAATAGACATAACCAAGGTATACGTACTCAAAAACATCAACAAATACAACTATGCGTGCATGATGCAAGTGTGAATGAATAAATGAATGTCATGTATATGCTGACAAAACAGACAGGGGATAGACAGGAGATGATAAGACATCACAGTACAACTCAACACACGGCTAATCTCAACAAGATGGGAATATTACTGGAGATAGAACACAGGCCATCATTGGAGCAAGGTCCTTTTACAAGGCTTAAGTATCTCTGGAGAGGAAGATATTTTTGGTAGAAAACCCAAAGTCCAATCTTCTAATGTCAACAATCCATTGAAAGGATAACAACACAAACAAATGTTTCAGCGGGAAAAAGTCATGCTTAACTGGAGATACTGGGAACACCACCCTCTGATAATGTATGAAAAACATATCTTGACAAATCTGGATTGCACCTGGGATTAATTTTGGATGCCCCAAGTTTACTGCTGATGAGCTGCATGTTGCACGATAATTCTTGCGAATAGCTTCACTTCTAACATACCCCAAGTTATCTGGTTGATGGGGAGAAATCGTCTCAAGAGAATTTTACAAAAGACCTGGCATTCACCGTGCTCTGGTGTCTTCAAACTCTTAGAGGAATTCATCAAATTTCGACGTGATTGCTCCGGATTGATTGTAGTTGGCACAACAAAGTCTTCAAATTTTTCCCCAAAAGGGTAAACAAGTTGGGAAAGCATTAACTGGGAGAATTAACATGTATGTGCTTAAGGTCTTCATGTGACATGCCCCTGGATGTGATTTTTTTCTTGAAATGATTCGCCAATTACTCAACATAGTTTCAAGCCTTAAAAGAATAAAACTCATCACTGGTGCTTATATGAGCTTCCTTGATATCAAACAAATGTTTTGCAGTTAGAAAAAGTTATTATGAGAATGAAAATTCTAATGCAACAGTTATGTAAGTCTTGAAGATTTTGAAAAGATATCTGTTTACCTTGGTATTTGGTAAACAACCGCTGATCCTCCAAATGGTTACTTATTTGCTTACTCGCGGGATCGATCAGATTGATCCTAGGACATAGGTTGATTTTGAAGTTTGATTAAATTGGATATTGGTTAAATGATAATAAAATAAAGAGGCTTTAAGTAAATTGCATGAAGAAAGGACTTGGTAAAATAAACAAGGCTTTAAATGAAAAGGTTCGACAGGAAAGTAAAGAAGAAAGCAAATAAATTTCTGGGAAAGTAAATGACTTTGATTAATAAAGTTGGTGTTTCACACATACATTTCTCAACAATTCTTTCTCACACGCTGGGTACTCGAATCTATATGAGTGACTTTGTATAGAATTGTGAACACACGCGAGAAACTACATGACTACTACTATTTATACTAAAACATCCCAAGTAACCGTCGGGCAGTTACACTGCTTCGAGATGATTCCACTTGGCACGTTCTCAACGTTCGACGCTCCAGATCTTCGCACGTTGCACTTGGTAACCGCTGGAAACCGTTTTCCCTCCAAACACTTGGATTTCAAACTGCTCCACTCTGAACCATCGAACACCTTCGTC